GTAGTAGTAGTAGTAGTAGTAGTAGTAGTAGTAGTAGTAGTAGTAGTATTACTATTGCTATTGCTATTGCTATTGCTATTGCTATTGCTATTATTACTATTATTACTATTACTATTATGTGTTGCATTTCTCCCAACAAAGGACCCAAAGTGGTTAACAACCTTAAAATTCACACAATTTAAAACACAATAGTAAGTTAAATATTAAAAGGCAAATTAAACAATATATGACTTAAAACATGGAAAAGATTAGGTATGTGTTTCCTAAATTACAACACTGCTTCCTAGTGAATTGTATGTGAATATTTAAAATGGACATTTTTGCATTTGTATTTCACAGACCCCAACTGTTTTAAGGTTATTTTAAGTATCTTACTCAATAGGCTTTAGAGTTAAGTAGCAAAAAAAATTTAATTGCTTTTTGAAAACCTTGTTTAATCTCCAAAGCACTACTAAAATGAGCAAAGAACAGACTTGAAATATTTCCACGTGCATGATAAAGTTTCATTTTCATTTAAAGCAATAAGATACAAACTTTAAAGGCTTTAGGTATGGACAAAATCCACAAGCAGAGCTCCACTCACATAGTGAGATTTGCCTCATCTATCTTCCTCCTTGAGCAAATTGAAGTTGTACCGGTTACACTAGGTACTGCTGGGGACGCGAATTGTCTGCTCCATCTTCTGCTGACAGAAGCCGTTCTATTAGGAATACAAGTTAACAAGCACAATTAGATGGATATCTACTCAGAAGTAAATCCTGCTGAGTTCAACTACGTTACTCCCAGTTAAGTGGTATAAGACTGCAGCCTTAGCCAGATGGTTATGAAGCTGAGGAAAATATGTTGAGATCCTCTTCAAATCATATACCTGTGTAAGTTAAAACAAAAACAAAGCCTGTGTAGTGTACTGGACAGAGTGCAAATAGACTTGGGAGATCTGGGTTCAAATCTCCACTCAGTGATAGAAACCACTCTTTAAATAGCTCACATACTTTGACAAGCCTATTAGGGTCACAAATAATTCATGACTTAATGGCACAAGTGTCCCAAGACATATTCCTAGGAGTTTGATCTGCAATGTACATTTTTGGTAAACCAATGCTCAGACTATTTTACCATGTGTATACTCTGTAAGTCATATTTAAGTCATACCAATTTAGTTGTGAAATTGAATTCTGTACACTCTCTTTGATAGCAATCAATCACAAGGACAGAAAACGGTTATTGTGCTGAGTGGGCATGGAGCTATAGTCACCTGTGCCTTCCTATACGTGCACTTGTGGCTGACTATGGATATTTGCTGGTTTGCCATCTAGTAAACTGATGCAGTTTGGGGACCAAGTATACATTTATACTTGGTTATAGTACATCAGCTTTTTGAAGAAGCATTTATAGTACATCAGCTTTTTGAAGAAGAGAGATGCAGTCGATGCACTTTGCCCAAATAACTCCAGCTGTGTAACTATTAGACATGAGGGGTATTCTGTTAATAAAGAAGGTAGGAGGCCTGTCTGAAGGCCTGTGGGATGAGAGCCTGATGCACTAATGTACTAAGGCTCCTCCAACATTATGCCCACCCAGTGGGCCGGACAACAATTCCCACCATCAAGAGCCTTTACGGACCAGGATGACTGAGGTGATAGTTGTATTTCATTCCAACAGATCTGAAGAGCCCCAAGTTCAGGGACGTTCTGCTAGTGTTTATACCTCTGAGGCCCACTTTTAGGCCCTTTGTTTTTGAGCTGTAAAGCCATTTAAAATAAGTTTGAGAAAACATTACAATCCTACTTACTCATACATACTTAGCCTAGCCTTCCATCGCCTCAAAGAAAAAAGAGCTATCTCCCAGTTTATAGCAGATTTCATTCTTATTGGTGGCAACTAGCCAAGAGGCTTTCTGCTAGACTTCTTTAAACATGTTAGGCCTTTTCATACATTAAAAACCCATCTCTACATTCTGTCCTTTTTAAAAAAAATTAAGGCATTCCCTTACTTCTGAGTATACTGTTTCAAGTGCATAGAGTGGGAATACATAATATTCTGACAACAGGAATAGCTTTTCAGATTGGCATATAGCATGGAAAAGGAAACAAATATTTATCAGAAACAATGTTGTTCATACCAGATTATGTTCTCATAAATTATGCTGTTGTTTTTACTGAATTTATTTTACTTGTAAAACTCTTGGGATGGAGTAAAAGAATGAGTTAATAGAATTTGTAGAGAAGTGGAAGAAACTTGTGCCAAAAATGTGATGCATCCTTTGAAAAGGTTTGAAATAGCAAAATAATTTTCATGTCAGATTTGTTTGTTTGGAAAGCAACAATGTTGGGATATCAGATCTTTTCTCTCTCTTTTTTTTTCCAAAGGCATTTTCATTTGTAAAACTTAGCCTTCTCGCTGGCAGCATTGGAGAGGAATGTTGGATTTAATTTAAAATGATTAATGAGATTTTGTCAGACTCCTGCCCTCTACCGCCACTGCAGTATGTCAGTACAACAACCTGGGAAACCCGGACGCCACTCTGTCGCCCCAAACAACTTTCCAGGGAAAAAAATTAAAGCTAAATAGCCAGCACCAGTTACTTGTCAGTGGTATCGTCTTTTGGCTGCTGACAGATAATTGCTATGTTAAGATATTTACATGTTCAAGGCATGAGGCCCAGCATAAATTAAGTAGCTTTTTCTGATGCTGGAAATCAATAGTCAGTAAAGATTTCAGGGTTTTTTTACAAGAATGATAGAATTAAATTATATGTTTAATCCCTTATATGCAAATGAATACTCACTGATCCCTTCCCCTACAGAAAAGTAATGTTTATATTATATTCAAGGGAAAGTAAGATTCTTCCTGTTTAAAGATTTAAGTAAAGGAGAGGAAAATGGAAAAGAACCTCATATTGAAGAGATTTTCATGTAGGTTTTTTCAGCTGGTCTGTATGCATGTAATCTGAATTCAGTATAATACCTTGAAGCAGGAGAATGTGCAGATCCAAACATTATTGTACTAAGGGTGAAATTCTTACCAAGGCACAGTAAGTAAGGGAAACCACTACAGGCCATAACCTAAAGTCAAAATGCTACCTGCTATTCCTGGGAATTACCCCATGGAACTCATTGGACATGTGTTACATGTGCTATTAGCAAAACATGTATTCAACTATGCTGTCAAGCTAGATATATAACACTTTTAACATACAGTGTATGCTGCTTTGTTTTACAAATAGTTTTTAAAAGAGTAGGGAATGTAGCCTTCCACACACTGTTAGATTTCTCATTACCCTCAAGCCAGCATAGTCAATAGCAGAAGGTCACTGTTGTGCCAGTCTATGAACAAGAACTGGAGGGACAGATGTTCGCCCAGCTGTA